AAGATGGAAGGGTAGTTTCTAAGTATGACAAAGATTCAGAAATGATGCCTTAGTAGACCATTTAAAATATAGTTAAGGTTGGGATCCACCCAAGAACATTGATGTACTTGTGATTATCTTAACATCAAAATCCAAACCAGAGCCATGTGATAGCGGGAATAACTTTTAACAAATTGTAAACGAAGAAATTTGTACCTTCAATTATTGTATTCTACTAAAAATGGCAGAGGGAGACGAGCGGAACCATCATCCATTTGATGGTTCTACCTCCAAAATATTAATTATTCATTATGATTAGAAGCAGGAATCTTTCCATGTTATAGGGCATAAGAAACATGAAATGAGACAAACTCTACCCTACCCTCCATTAAAATTAAAATTTAAAATAATAATGCATAGGCATTGTAATACCTAGAGCTTCATCTAAAACATGACGCATAAACTTATTGGACTAGAAATATGCCCACTAAGAAAACCCAAGCAATACTGCAAACAGTTTGCCTGCAAGTTGTTGATGAACCATGTTTCTCAAAGAGACCCTTTGAGTTTTCAAAAACAAAAACACGCCCTTCAAGATGAAGAAGAAAGCAATAGATGGAAGCGGAGGCATGCCCAGAAGAATAACAATAAAATATGACAAAAAAGAAGGTAATGGGAGAAAAGTGCTGCACCTGCGCATTATCAATCATGGTCTGAGACTCTGAAGTCTGAACCCACTAATTGCCACATCTGAGATAAAAATTCTTTCTTTTATCTTTTTGCTCTTTCTGCCTTTCAATATTCACATGCACACACGTGGTCTGTTTGAATAAATAAAGTGAATAAAGAGAAATTCCCCGTCCAATGCTTAGAGTTAGAATAAATTCGATACCTAACCACGTAATAAAACAGATGGAAGTCATACAGAGTAGTACCTTCTTTCAAATATTGAATTATTTGATGATTGCTTTTGATAATTGATGCCCATATGGATCCAATCTTAAGGGCGCGAAGTGAAGCGAAGTTCTCTGAGAAGCTTGCTTACGTGCGTCCACATGCTTTTATGCCAACGGAAACCAGAACCAGCCTTTCATGATTTTAAAATCGAAAAAGAAATCGAAAACCTAATGTTACACGCAGCGATTAGATGCTAAATGAGACCAAATCGCCCTCTCCTGCACATGCGCCACATGCACATCGCTAAGGCTCACAAAAACGTTTACCTTCGTTCCCCCCTAATAGATGAAATAAATCCAAAAATGGATTTTGTTCAAGAATGAATGTTACTGAGACTGTCCAGGTCTCTTCCTGATCCGATGTACAAATTTTTGCTTTTACTCGCGCTGACTTTTGACCTTTTGACTATTGTGGCTGAAAGGGGGAAGAAAATGAAGCTCTTATTTTTCAGCGTTTCACTTATATCCTTGTGTTTAATTAGCATTAACCTCTTGTTCTCATGGTTTCAAATTGTAAAAGAAATTATTCTCATAAAATATTTTTCTATTTTGTTCAAAGGACCCTAAATTTGTTTCGTTGCGAAGGCAACCTTTTAACTGCTATATTTTATTTATTTTATTTTCCAAACTGCTAGTTTTTCTTTTGGTGACAATTCCAAACTGCTAGTTTACAGCCTACGTATAGACTCAGAGCTTGTTATTGTCGTTATGTTACTTTCTTCAATATTTGTTGCAAAAAGTCAAATGTTGTAAACAATTTCAATCAATTAGAATATTACATAATATGTTAAACCGGCTCAAAACTTTATAAGACTGGCTTGGTTATAGCACCAATGCAGATCAACCTTGTGGGCTTGGTACATCATGAGGAATTGGATCCAGAGGCTTTAGTGCTTTCGGCCTTTTTCTCATACATGATACATCGGCTAATTTTGGTAGTTAGATAGCGTTTTTGTGAACCCCGGATAACATTTTTTGGGTACAACAATGGGTCTAGCCCAAAATCTTTTCTCATTTTTGGGGTACAGAATTTTTCTCATTTTGTTAGACAGACAAATTTATGATAGATCCCTTGGAATAAATTATTGGAAAAATTCTAATTAAATCCATTTGGAATAGCAAAATTCTAATTTAAGCCTACACTTTTAACAAATTCTTAATTAGGTTAAGAGATCTAATTTGGGATTTCTAAATGTTGCTAAAAGATCAAAAGACCCTTCGTAATTAAAAAGAGTAATTTTATTTTTAATTCTTTTAATTGAATTTAACTAACATGTTTTTTCTTTAAACATTATCATATGAAAATTTGGCCAAAAACATTATCATATAAAAAATAAAAAAAATACAATTATGGCCAATAAAAAATAATTGAAAAGTCAAGATAAAAAAATACATAATTTCTAGATATCCATAGAATTACAAAAATACGGGAACTAATAAAAATTTCACGACTTCAAATGTTAAAGATTCATAGGATCAAAGTTTTTTTTTGTGAGAAAAAATCAAATCAAAGATTTATGGAATTCTTGAATATCTATCAAAATTAATTTTACTATTTCACAAATTACATTGAGACTCATCAATTCATCTTCAATTTTTCGATCTCCAAGATTTATTCATTATCAAATTTTTATTATATAAAAAATAACTAAAAGGTCATAAATTCTAGAGTTGACAATACGTTTACAATTATGAAACAACTTTGATATAAAATCTAAGAAAGACCATGTTCTCATTAGTCATCACTTGCACCAATGATCACATTACATATGCCCCCAAAAAAAATCAGTTATTTGCCAGACCAATTTCAACTAGGATTTGGATTCTTGCAAGTCTTTTTTGTGTGACCATGTTGATGGCATCTTGAATAGTGGTATGTTTTTGTGTTTTGGAATTGTGATTCACATCTCGTAGTTCTTGGTTTTCCAAGAGGTTTACTGGTCTAAGGTGGTTGGAGAAAATTTGTTCCATTATATTTTTCATTCTGAAGTTATTTGGGTTTGTCATGTCAATAGTTATAACAAGTATTATACTCCTTCTATAAATCTTCTCGTGTTATAATCTTGTGACAGTCTTCTTCATAAATTTAATATTGATAGATATGAAAGAATTCTATGAATCTTTAATTCATTATCATATATTTTTTTATCTTGATTTTTAATTTTTTTAATTAAAAAATTTTAAGTAACTCTACTGGAATAATTAAAACTAAAATCAGGCTTACACCCACATTCAATTTTTCTTTTTGATTACAAAGAGGCATTCTAGTCTTTTAGTAATATTTGAAAATCCCTAATCAGGCCTCTTGGCCTGATTAAGAATTTGTTAAAAGTATAGCCTTAATTAGAATTTCATTATTTCAGATGGATTTAATTGGGATTTTTCCTAAATTATTTTTATCATCGGGTCAAACTGATCCAATTGCTGGCCCAAAAAAGGGATCCAATTGTAGCGCGTCATCACTGTCCTCTTTGATTCTCTGATCTATATGATGAGCGTGGCTCAATTTCTGCGAAGGGCAGACGAATCAAAAGCAGACGTTGTATAATACTCCAATCTCATCACCGCCAATTTGCTACCATCTGGTCTCTGGAAGAGCATTCTAGCCAGTTCAAGTTGCATAGCAAGTGGCAGTGGCAAGGAGGGCATAGAAAACAAAATCGTCATTGATTTTCCTGGCTCCAACACTTTGTTAAACGAGGATCATCTTATTTGGAGGGTACTTGGAAGATAACGATGAACAGCCATTACATTTTTCAATGGCACCGACGTCATAATCCTGCTGGACAGATCGTAGAAGACAAATCAGGGAAGGGGAAAAAAATTACGCAGGCCCGCAGGGATTGCCCCTCTCATGATATTTAGGGGTGTTTGGATATAACCAAACCATGGTTTGAAAAAACTTCTGGAGAATAGATTCTGGAAAGAATAGATTTTTTGAAGAATAGATTTTGTGAAAAAGTAATTCTGAGAAGTGAGAGTGTTTAGATAGTTGTTACCAGAAGTACTTTTTACATGTACAAATTACTAAAAAATGCATAAGTTAATATGATACTTACAGAAAAAATATATTTTATGATATATTTTAATTTGAAGGAATAAAATTGTTAATAATATATTTTTTATTAACATAATTAATAATACATAAGATAATATAATTAATAAATAATTAATATGTATATATATTTATAAGATATAAGATTAAATATATTTATAAAAAATATGTTTATAAAAAAAACAACAAGATACATATCCTATAAGCTCTCATACTCTCCCTTTTTTTCCAAAAGCAAAATTTTTTTACTTTTTCCAAAACCATAGTTTTGGAGCCAAAACCATGGTTTTGACTCAAAACCATGGTTTTGGTTTTTATAAGGGTGTTTTGGGTGGTTTGGGTCCCCAAACCATGGTTTGGGTTGGAACCCAAACACCCCCTTAAAGGGCAAGCATCATCAAATGCTGCCAATCAGCCAAGAACGCCCTCTAAGCAATTCCCATAAAGGACAAAAGTATTATTTCCCAGACTGTCACACAGTTATCTGCATAAAAAGTTTTCAAATTTCATCTCAAGATCATTAATCATTTCATCAATCATCAATGCAAATATCAATCATCAGAGTGAAGCTCGTCTATATCTACTAAATGAAAATGGAAACTTAACTCTGGTACAATTTGCTGAGCCCCATCCTGTCCCACTGGTCCCCTCTTTTTATCAAAAGCCAGAAACAAGACTTTTACTGACAAGCAACAACGATGGTAAGAAACAGCTTATGGTTTCCACCAGTTCCATCCATTAACTAGCCACAAGCTGATCAATTCACTGATTTCATATAAGGTAAAAAGGGATCTCCCAAGAAGTTGGACTAGAAAATTGTTAGATAAATGCAAATTAGCAATTGCTTTCAGACACGGTGAAGCAAATTTTGCTATTTGAACGTTCGCAAAAACAAGCCTCAATCTAAAGTCCAGTGCAGCACTGATGCGTCCGCAGAACAATATATTGTTCAGATAATCACTTCTACTGAGTTTTTCCTAGGCTTTATGGCTGTTAAACTTGTTCAGATATACAATCAACCACTAATCCAATCATTATTATATTTCCTATGAAATCAAATGGACAAGAATTCTATATTAGAATATTATTAAACCTTGCAAAATACATTTCAAGTGAGCACTAAGGAGAATACATGAGGTAGAAAGCAGAAAAACCTACATAACAAAAATGTGGAAAGCAGATAACATCTCCGCACTGGGGCTATCTGTGACAAAGCCTGCCAACTAATCTTGCATACAAGTTCTGCAATAAAGTCATAACATGGAAAGAACTTGTCCCTTCAATTCTTTCCTAATCAGAGGAAGGCACTTACCTGAGCCTACATTAAAGCTCATTTTAGAATTTTGGGGATGCATTACCTTCCATTTTCATGAATGACCTCTCTGCTCATTCTTCCAAGAATTTTTAGCAGCTTCAATAGAGGATTCACTGGAATCTCCATTTCCGTCCTTCGGTTTTGAGAAGAAAGGATCCCATTCATGAGGTCCTACCTCATGCTGCCCCTCGTCCAACAATGCATATTTCCAGCTGTTCTCCTCAATGAAGTTGTCGTTTGTATGCCCTGCAACGATATCCTTCCTTAAATTTGAAACCTTGTCAATAACTGCCTGTACAGCAACATCAAAGGCATCTTTAAGAGTTTCCAATTTAGAGCGAGGATCGGCATATACAAGTCTTGGAATGAGACCAATGACCTCCTCTCTCATGATTTTCACCTGCTCAGGAGGTATCTGCATTAGCCTTTCCTCTATACTCACATTCCTCTTTCGAATATCATCCTCCGGAATAAAGACAGAATATTTGGCATAGTCCTTAGGAAGATGCCATGTATATTGTGTGTATGCTGAACCTGGATGGAAGAAGACAGGTATACAACCAGCCAGCATTGAATCAAAAGCAGATCTTCGGGTGTACGAGTCACCCTGGGGTTGCAGGCAGAAAAGCGAGCTCTGAAACATTTGCATTATGCTGCTTGGAGAATGGCATTTGCTTTCACCAAAGTCACATTCCAACAGCTTACCAACCTTTGACTTCTTGCATTGGTCAATTATCTGCCCCCTAATCGATTTGGAGTTGTCAGGACGTGGAGCTCCAGCAAACGAGAATAGCCACTTCCTCTCTAATCGTCTCATTCTGTCCTGCCAGATGAACACATCAGCATCTTTTGCAGGGTGGAAGTATGTGGGATATGGAATAGCAAAATCATTGGCATTCCAGGGACTGGATTCGACCACAAGCATGGACATATTCTTCGCTGCTGGTAAAAACAGAAGCTTACTACCCCAATCTGATTCTTCATCACTTAGTCTCCGGAAATCCCATGTTATCCTTCCTGCAACAAGAAAATGGTCTCTACCATTCATTATACCCCACTCTGGCCTCTTCATAAGCCATTCAACGAGCTCAAGTGATGCAGCATCTCTCCTTGAAATATTATAACCCCAAAGATAACGTGCAATATCAAACCCAGCATAGAAGGGTACAAAAATCGCGGCAGCAATAGATGAATCCTTTGTCAAGCAGTCGTACTGTTTCATCCTATTGTTGAATATCACGTCAACGGCAAACTGATTTGTAGCGTACCATCCCGTATCTGAGAACACCCCTTCAAAATTCTCCAGTGGCGGACCAAGCCCAGCATTAGTGGTAAACTTGCACATATTAGTCCACAAGCTTAACGTCCTGCAATCCTTCAACATATCCTCGTTAAACTTTGAGGGAAGATCGTGCACATAAATATACCTCCCTCCACAAGGGTCACTCTTGTTTTCGGCAGTTCGCATTGCTTTCATGAATGGATGATTCTTCTGTGGGCTTTGTACCTGATGGTCATTGTCATCTTTTGGAGGCTCCTGCAACTGATGAATGCCAATCTTTCTAGGAGGGGTTTGCCGTTGACCGACTTTGGCTACAGGGACTGGAGAAGATTCGCGAATAACAGAAGCAGGTTCTAGTTTGGTTGACTGATCAATATTACTACCTCCTAGCACCACAAAGTGGAAGTACAATAGCAAAAACCAGAAAATAGCAGACAAGGATGCCAAACAGCAAAGCCGAGAATTCTGGCCTTTTACTGTTCCTTTCTCCATTTGTCCAGGGAGACCGCCCGCCAAAGGGCGTTTTCTCATTTCATTCCGATCACAATCGAATATTCAGCAAGTTAGTCACGAAATTGACATTCTTTCGCTTGCCCACAAAATAAAATCCGAACTTACACCCCAAAAGCTTACATCAACGAAATACAACTAAGACATAAAACCCTAGACTAAAGAGGAATGATTAATCTGAGCATGGGATCAGCTCCAGAGCAAAAGAACTGATTGCCGCGGCAAAAGTATTTGCCAAATACAAAGGAATGACTAATGAGTTGGTGGGAACAGACGGAAATGGAAAAGAGCAAGAAGGAATCAGAAAGAGTATGGGCCCAATTATGAGTATCAAAATCAGCACGACTCACGAGGAGTGAGCGAGCGTCTTTGATTAGATCAATCTAGTAGGAAGCAAAATCACAAGATTTAACGACTCAAAACCGGAAAACCCGCGCCGAATAAAGCAAGAGGGAGAGAATCGAATCGAATTACTTACGGAAAGAGTCGTTCAGCAGCAGACGGAATTCCAGAATTTGAAGGAGTGAATTTTGCAGGGAGGTAACAGAAGAAAGGAGAAAAGGCAATAAATGAGCATGTAAATTGGCTGTTGGAATGCGAGAATGATGGGGGGTGCACGTTAGCTACGTGCGCGGGGTCAGTCATGTGTCGGTCACCTATGAGATTGTGACACGTCGAGAAATGTGTGACGTGTACGTTGATGAAAGTGAGGCCTTGCCCCATGATTTGCGTTTGCATGCATTTGCAACGTTTCAGGCCATTACATGGCTGATTTGTTTCGGCCCAAAATTAAAAATTTTAAAAAAGAAAAATAGATCGGTTCAATTAGGCCCTGTACACGTGGAATCTAGCTAGTGGACTAATATTCTGTTTGATAGAAAGAATTAAAAATGAGAAATAGAGATTGTGATTACAGTTAAAAAAATCATTAAAATAATATTTGGTATGAATAATTGCTTGTTGTATAGGATTAGACAAATCTATAGAGGTGGAATTAGAGAATACCACTTCTCCCCATGGTATCCCCCAATCCTATATACATAGGTTTGGTTAATCCCTTATAACAAATAATTTTTTATACTAAATATTCTTTTAATAGTTTTTTCAATCCCAATCCCAATTCCTATCACTAAATTTCAATCCTTTTTACCAAACACAATCTAAGAGTCCCTCACTGTGGGATAATGGTGCTTGTTTTTCCTTTGTATTTCTCAAAACTTCCTAATAAATAAGCCAAAGTTTCATTGGAACTTTTCTTGGACAAACAAAACTTTCATGAGAATTTTTTATATATATATTTTGTCTTTTTTCCTGCTTGATGGATATAGTAAGAATAGCCTTATTCCAGCACTGTCGTAATACTACCTCCAATTTTTAATATAAAACTAATTAACCAATTTAAGTAAATTAAAAAAGTTTGTTAAGTTAGTTATTTGTAATTATTTTTTATAAAATACCCTTATTAATCATGTGTATTACCTAGAACTATCATTTGATGAAACATTTAACATATGTAACTATTACAAATATTATCTTGAAAAAACATATAAATGTAAGAGAAAGAGTAGATTGAGGTCTTATATTTAGGACCAAATTGAAAGTTAAGCTAGCTCTTATATTAAGAACCGGAAGTAGTATAACAGCACTAGCAGGATGCGTTTTAGAAGTGTTATAAAATGATATTATTTTTTTAAGATTGTTATATTTGTATATTTCCAATAATTTGATCACAATGGATAAGCAAATCTTAGCATCTTTTAATAATTTAATGCGAATTCATCAATGCTGAATCCCCACATCTTTAAAGAGAGGAAATATTCTAGAAGTTTTTGGAATGGGCACAAAAAATAATACTTTTCCGGTTCTAAATATAAGATCCCTTTTATCTTATATATATATATAAAAAGGTTTTATATTTAAAATCGGAAGAATACTAATCATTGGGTAGGGGCGTCACCAATTATAGGCAGGGAAACTGGTTTGGAAAAAGTCAAATATTGACCAAGCCATGCACATATAGGGGACCACTTGCATGAAAAGAAAATGATGCTGCTACTCTTGTTTGTTGATTTGCCACTTGAACTATATTTATCATTGTTAGTAATTATGAGTAATATTAGTAAGTGGTTTAATTAAGTACATTGTCGCCCTTTTTGTGGATTTAGAGCCGTTTGCATTAGATTAAATGCAAAAACTATTAATTACCATGATCATAGCTAGCTGTGGAAAAATGTCCAACAAAATCTGTGTCATTGGATTTTGAATTTTGGACATGATGATTTAATTATCAGAATACCAACTCTATTAGTCGTTAGTATTATTTGATCTTAAAATCTAGCTAAAAATTTTTCGTTGATTATAAAAATAAACGGTAAGTGCTTAATCTATTTTATTTTTAAAATTTATATTTAGTTAAATTATCCTCATTGATTGTACAAATAAATTTATGTACCCATGGAGTAATTTCTGACACAAACGATTAAATTCATGTTTTAGAAAAATCAATATACATTTTTTATAAATAAAATTTGTTTGACTAATTTTTTTAATGTTAATAAATTATTTGTTGAACATTTACATTTATACTACTACTAGTGTATTACAAGACACTTCACTGCCAATCACTAACTTGGTTTGTGTGGCAGTGTGGGTTCGAATTCTCATCCCCTCGTTTAAAGATAAAATCGTCTGCAAGTCACATCCTAACTAGCAAAATCCCAGAGGCAAGACGAGGCGCAGTTTGGCCTCGCTGGTTCAGACAGTAATAATAAAAATTCTGGTTGAGGATAGCAGCCGAAAGAGGAAAACTAAGAAAGCAAAAAGAAGTAGGAGACAAAGCCAAAAACCAAGCCTTGAGATAATGTTAGTTGTGGTAGTTGGTCGACCCAGCTTGAGATCTTCAAAGTTCAACCTAATTCCTGGCTCTGTCATCTTCAATTGGCTGCCACAGAGCACCGAGTTGGACACACCCTGAACATTACTGTTTATATAAATGTTGATGCAGCAGCAATCTTTTGATTCACATTTGAAGCTTCTCTGGTACACTCGCATTGATGCTCCAACGTTGTTTCCTTCCAGGTTGATGCACTCAGACGAACCATGCTTGTCATTCGAGTCACCTTCTTGATTATGATGTTGGGTTTTGTTCATCTTTCATGGGAGGCTGTATTGCTTTCTCTGCGAGGCTTTCCTAAGTAATGAGAGAATACATGTTATAGATCTGTCGGTTCCCTTGCAGCTGAAGAAAACCCTTGTGACAACGGAATCACTTGAAGGACACTCAAAGCCGACACAAAACTTTGGTAGTTCTGTTTTCTTTCAAGGCTAAAAACAAACATATACAGGCATTGATATGCCAAAAGGCAGATCCACATGCATTACGTTACATATTTTTAAAGTTTACCCAGATATACAATTCAGCAGAAAATGACCACAGCTATTTTATTATGAGTACCGTAAATGATATACTATCTCCGGTCCTTAATATAATAGTTCGTTTGACTTTTATTTTGGTTCTAAATATAAGATTTCAATCCACTTTATCTCTCATATTTATCTTTTTTTTTTAAGGTAGTCCTTGTAATAATGGTAGTTCTTGTAATAACGGTAGTTCTAACCAATACACTTGATTAGCAAGGATATTTTAAGAAAGACAACACATATTTATTACAAATAACTAATTTAACTGGTTTTCTTAATCTATTCAAATTAGTTAACAAGCTCTTACATTAAAGACCGGAAGTAGTGTTAACTTATCCTCGTGAAAGCCATTCTGTATTTATAATTAGGCATCAGCTATGTGCTGTCCATCAGCCCTACAACAGGTGGGAATCTATTTTCTGAAGAAATTTTAACGAGTTGCAGTAATTTGTGACATTCCTTTGCCCAATAATATTCAGGAGATTACAAGGAAATCGAGGAAGTTGAAGAGTCAGCAACGTTGTGGAATTAAACAGAGGCTGTTAATATATCAACTGATATTTGGCTTCCATCTTTATCAATCAGGAGAAAAAAACTAAAGCCTCGACAATTCCATCTTAGCGACTTAAAAGCAAGGTAGTGAATATGGCCTTCTTCGTTCAGCTTCAATTATACATTTCCAGTAACTGGTGGGGTCATGATCTGCCCCATTTCCATTTTTAGCGTCTTCAATGGAGTTGATGGAGATGCCCTTAAACCAGAGACGTGAATAATAAATCCCATCATAGATGATACCTCCATGCTCTTTGAATGACATATTACGTTGATGATAAATTTAGATGTTAATGACCGACGCAATGCAGTGCTACAAGTTTCCCAGCCAGTTAAGGGTTCACTTCTTCAAAGCTGTGGTTTCTTGTCTCCTGCTCTTCTCCTGCGAGAAGACATAGCCAGTGCCAGGATGAATTCAAGTTGCAGAATCACATGAGAAGATGCGTAGTTGCGGACCAATAAGTTTAGCATTAACATCAGCCTTTTCCATCACCGCTTTGATTGAATTTTTATCTCTTGGGTTGTATTTCATTGGCATAGTCTGGGAATCACAAACAGCGGATGGGAACTACCTGTTAAGAGAAGGGTGGGTGGACTCTTTAAAGTTAAAAGGAGGGCAAGTCATCATCTCACACTGGAACTAACTCTCCTAAATCCTCCATCAGTTTGAGATGACAATGCGAATCTTCAGAACCTCAAGGGACATTCACTTGAGACCCCGTTTTAGATGGAAGAGAATGGTATTATCAAAAACGTGCAGTAGAATAGGTCAGTTAAAATAGTTCCACTCTGAGTTCTTTCCACAGCAACTGTATCCAATAGTTCCCTATATCAAGGAGAAGTCGAACCTTGACCTCATTTGTACCTTCCATACGCTTCCCCACGGGAAAGAGAATGATGCTGCGTCGTGTATAGATACGCACTTCTTAATTATATTTATTCATTATTTAATCTTTCTCCAGAGGCACTCTGAGTTAGCTTTGCGAATTTAGAGGATCTACCCCTGAGCCTGCATGTTGGAAGGCACATGACAGAGCTTGGACTTGGACCCAAGCTAAGTTGGATTGAGAATGGCATGAGGGCAAGATCCACAAGATGAAGGTCGGCCTGCTTCAAAAAGAGTTTGGACCATTTCGCCTTAGAAATCGCCAATCGGCCAGATTGCCCCTTAAGAGACTACGCGTTTTTTTTCCTTGCGAGTTTATTAGGAGAATGAGTTCAAAGTAAATATATGCATGACTTCGGCGCACTTCAGAATTTAGGATAGAAAATCATATAGCACCATGTAAATCATATAGTAAAGTAGTAAACAGGAGATATAGCTATTAACATAGAGAGAGTCGGAATTATTTGTTTATCACTACTCTTTATCTTTTTCAATAAAACAATTACGTGGCTGTTATTTTTGGCCAGCATTATGTAGTTATTATTGATATAAAAAGGTGAAAATAACTACGGCTCTCTGTTTTTTTGTGGGCGGAGATACAATAAGATGATCAAACATACGATCAGATAAAATTTGCGAGAAATGAGAACAATAATAAACTATTTAGAAGAAAACATCAACTAAAACTGAATTTCTGGTAGCAAGAAACCGTGGAATACAAAAAAAGACTAGTTCGGCTCTACACTCCCTCCTGACCAAGCAAAGAACAAAAACTAATGCCTGATTCTAAGACTACTTATTATTGCGCATATTGAGTCCAATTTGAGAGGCCCTTATTTCCCTTTCCCGTAATGACAGTGAAGTCTATCTTATTTTGTGTTACAAATCATGCTATCCATCCATGCATGAATTCTTCCAAAATGAATTTAACTTTCAAACTAGAATCTAACAGTTTCCTTCCCATTTCGGTGCTTGCTTGCTTGCTTCATGGGGAGTCACTTGCACCTCTTGTCCTTCCCTTTTTCCTGAATGTGCCGAATGATCCTGTTGCAGCAGCAACAGCTGAGGCTGCACTAGCTGCTTCAACCTTTGAGCTGTCTTGAGCTCTCTTGTCACCACCAAATCTGAAGGCCTTGAGGCATGCCATCCGGTTCAAAAATCTGGTATGCCACTTGACCTTGATGAATACTCTGTCACCAACTTCAGGAACATCGAGGACTTATCCTCTAATAGTCGGGATGGCGTGTCAAACTCTGCCACTCGACCTGCAAACAAAATAAAAATTAGTTTCCAAAGTCAGCAAGTCAAACCCCATAATGTGAGACTGATTGCAAATTTTGTATGGTTAAGGTAAGAAAGAAAGTAGAAGAATTGGATGTAACTTCACTTACCATCACTGAGGACTAGAACAAGATCACTGTCAATAACAGTAGGGATACGATGTGCAATAGTGCAGACAGTGCAATCTTTAAACTCTGTCCGAATAATCTTCTGTATAAGATTATCAGTTGCTGTATCAACTGATGCTGTTGCTTCATCAAGTACAAGTATCCTTGATTGCTTCAATAAAGCCCGCCCCAGCGCCACAAGTTGTCGCTGCCCTACGCTCCAATTATCACCATTTTCAAGCACTGCAAAATTCGAGAACAAGTATTATGATAGTTACTGATGACTCAAACCCTTCTCCATTCTTTCATTTTAGGAGGGTGGAGAGGAACATAAACTGTATATTCTGCTTACCTTGCGTATCAAGCTTTTCTTCTTTCTGCCGAATAATATCTCTGAGCTGAGACTTATCTAGCGCCTGTCAAAAATTAAAATTCAATGATTATCAGAGAACAAGATTTAAAAATAATAATCTGACAAACATAGTTATCCATTAAAGCAAACGTATCAACCTCCCAAATCTCTTTATCAGAGTGCTCTTCAAGAGGATCGAGATTGCCTCGTATAGTCCCTTCAAATAAGGTTGGATCTTGAGGTATGATACTGAGACGGCTTCGAAGGTCATGAAGACCAATGCTTGTAATATCAATGTCGTCTATATGGATACTGCCGCTTGATGGTTCAACCAATCGAAACAATGCTTGTATCAAAGTAGATTTGCCACTGCCAGTACGTCCAACTATTCCAATCTTCTTCCCACCAGGAAATGTGCATGATATTCCATGAAGCACCAATGGAAGATTCTCCTTGTAACGAACCTTTAAAAGGAACAGAGCAGGTTAGGTGGCTAACAGAAGAAAGAACAAGTCTACCCAACTTTTTACAAAATAAATGAAGTTTGAGGAATAAACCACACTGTTCATGATTATAGTGCAGCTTACTATAAATTTTATATTTTAGATTGATATTGATGACAAAATGCACAATATGAAACTTAATTAGATACCTTCAAATCAATTATACTGATTGTGCCATTCTCAGGCCATGTGGATGGAGGGCGAGTGTCTTCAATAACAGTTGGTGCTTCACTCGGAATTTGGCTGTACTGATAAATCCTTTCAATAGAAATTATTTTATTCTCAAGTTTGCAAAAGCTAAGAATCCACCGTGATAGGCGGGCATTTAAATTCAAGCCATACGTCACAGCAAGACCAGCCATGCCTATACAGAAAACAGAAATTAGTGACGAAAATATATCCTACACCTTCATGTCAAAAGATATTTACCATCATTAAAGACCTTTCCTGATAACTTAATGTAGTCCTGAAGAATTCAAAAGCAACAAGCAGCCCTAGACTAAATAATGTGCAATAGGTGGCATAATCACCTTGGTCTTATAAATCATTATTTTTCTTTCATGCTATGATTCTCAAGAAGGATCATTTTCCAGTAACAGTTTCCAATACAATCACTAAACTTGTGACAACAAGCAAAGGAAGTTGTGAAGGTTATATACTCACTAGGGTCAATACTCCCATGTGGAAAGCTCACTAGTAAAATCATGCAGAAAGCAAACACAAAGGTTGACAATAATTCCATACGCAGGCAGAGCCACTCAATAGCTGCAAGACTGCAGAAGAATGGCCGAGCAAAAGAGTCCAGAAGATAGAGGTTTCTCTTCATGAACCTTTTTTCTTGTCCAAAACCCCTGATGGTGGCTGCTCCAGCAATTGATTCACCAAAAAGATGTATAACTGGAGATTTCTGGATGCTTACTATACGGACCAGCTCCTTGACGAAGCCATGTAGTATTTCTACCAGAAAAAAAGAGAATTGATTATTAGTATGGTTCATTAAATCAATCATAGCATTTTTTTTTTTTTTTTTTTGGGTTGGGCGAAACAATCATCGCTTTATTGGGTAAGCAAACAAACTAAAAATCAATCGTGAATCATGACAGTTTAATCAAAAAACAAACTACTAAGAAGAAATACTAGCAAAGGAAGCTTGAACATGGAGCTCTTTTTCCTTTGCATAGGTCTTTTAACACCAACTTGAAAGGTTCAAAATTGATGCTGAAAAATTATGATTACCTGCATCCACAAACAAGCCACGGCCATTGGGACAACCAGAAGCAAAATTTGCCAGGTAACCTTTGTCATTACACCAACAATCCCAATAAGTTGTATTGTTGTCGAAGCAAATCCTCCTAGTCTAAAAGGAATGTCAAGATCCACAACACTCTGATCAATCGATACCTGGTGGCATATGACTCGGGTTATATAATAATGTACACCACAATCACCAGATAGGACTCGAGCATTTTCATTTTCAAAAAAAGAACTTACACGGTTCAATATCCTTCCAGCTGGCGTGGAGTCAAAGAAAGACATTGGTGCATGGAAAACACTTCTAAGCATTTTTATAAAAAGTTTCTGTGCAGCTGCTAGCCCAAATGTAGCTACCAGAACAGCCCTTATAAATATAAACCAAGAGCTTCCAAAAGCAAGAGCCATGTACACCAGAAGAAGAACCATAGGAGTTACTTTGGGTTGGTCTCCTTCCGTTTGAGGATTTGCCCAAGCCATCCACCAATTACTAGCAATTTGAAGAAACTGAAACAATGCTTGCGCAATGATTATGGGTGGAATCAGTAAGCCTTTATATGCTGCAGCCATGTATGACAAGTACACCCTCATGCTGACTCTACCTCTGACCCTCTCCTCTTCCTGAACAAGTTGTTTTTTCCTTGACCGCTTTGCTTTCTTCTTCTCCTTGATTGCTTTCTGTTCTGAAACTGATGAACCCTCTTGCATTTCCTTGGCTAGGCTTTCAATATCATTTGCAGATATAATGGACGTTTTACTGGCCATAACAGATGCCTCCAAGGACACATTTTCATCTGAATCTTCTGAGTGGTTAGGAATATCCATAGCCTCAATGGCTTCATGATGAGCCGAAACTAGAGTTTTGAAATCTGTTCCTGCTTGTAAAAGATCATCGTATTTTCCTGCCTGTATGATTTGGCCTTCTTTAAGAACCTTGAAAGGGGGAAAAAGATTTAGAGTTGATATCATTTACATTTTTTATCCAAAAAAAAATTCATCTCTTTCGGTTCACACCAAATGAAGGGTCCTAACTTCAGTAGCATAGAACTTGAAGATTCCCAAACTGAAAATCAACATAAACTTCTACAAGAAAATATTGGTGAGAATAACCATCCTAGCACTTGCACAAAATAAATATCTATGTAAGCAAAGATAAACTAAAATTGGCAGCTAAAGAGACTAAACATCAATATTGTATTAAGGGTAAACTAATTGAAATTAAAAAGAAACTGAAAGCATCATAATCACCAATTTCAAGAAGTTTCATTCATAACGTTAGAGTTGTTGTGAAACAGAACAATGTCAAAATAAAGGAATTTTCCCCAGCTAAATAAGCAAATAAATAGAATATCTTGATTCGTACAATCAACAAGTTCTAAAATAATCATTATTAAATAGGCCGATAATGCATTGAAATATAAATGATACTAAAGATGAATCCATATAGGAATACCAGTATCAAATCAGCTGAAGGGAGAAATTCCACTTGATGGGTCACAAAAATAACTGTTTTATCTGCTAGCGCTGTCAGTATGTATTCCTGCAGAGTTATACCATAGATTAGGCCAAATCCAATTCACTTAAACAGATTCAACTATATTATGACCAAGAAAAGCAGATTCAACTCTGTGTCAAGCAAAACATACGTTAAACAGTTCTGATCCAGTGTGAGCATCAACTGCACTGAAAGGATCATCAAGGAGATAAATATCAGCATCTTGATAAAGAGCTCGTGCAAGCTGCACCCGCTGTTTCTGGCCTCCACTCAAGTTTATACCTCTATCGCCTATAATTGTTTGGTCTCCATGAGAGAAGAGTTCCAAGTCCCTCTTCAGTGAACAAGCATGAAGAACTCTCTTGTACTTTGCTTTATCCATAGGGCTTCCAAAAAGGATATTTTCTTCAATATTTCCTGACTGTATCCATGCTGACTGGGAGACATATGCCGCTGAACCACACACTCTTACCTGCAAAATAATCCAATATACTTAGTAGCAGGATGTCTTTATCAAGATGGAACGAAGAGCTTAAGTTGGCCAACATACTTCACCAGAAAGCTTAGGAATCTCTCCAAGGATGCAAGAAAGGAAGCTTGATTTCCCAGAACCGACCATGCCGCAAACAGCCACACGCATGCCCCTTTTCACTTTCATTTGTATCCCTGAAAGAGTAGGCCTAGAAGAAGGGTCCCAGTAGAAGACTCCGTCCTCAATCTCAATGGCAATGTCAGAAGTTCCTCGTGGCAAGACGGTGGTTGCATCCTCTTGCAATTCTTCCTCCTGCAAGAAACTAGATATGCGATCAAGAGAAACTTTCGTCTGGGCCATTGTCGATACCAAGTCAGGAAAATTCCTCAAAGGCTCTTGAAGGATCCTGAAAGTAGCAAGAGCAGAGAGAACTCCACCTGCAGTCAACTGATCCCCCAACAATATTGAAGTGCCAAAAGTGATAGCAGAAACAAATATAGGAGAGCTCCAAAAGATGAAAGTGATGAAAGCCTGAGAATAGAGGGCTTTACGTAGCCACTTGAACTCTACTCCACGCATTTCTTCCAACTGTATTCGATATCGATCCTCCCAAGCTTGCAACTTGAGGATCCTCATGTTCCTCAAGCACTCAGATGTTTTCCTCATTCTTTCATCCTTAGCGGCCATTAATTTGTCTTGAAAATTTTCTTGTATCCTAGCCACTGGAATAGTAACAACAATGGAAATGATTGTGGCAATCAATGTAGCAATTGAAGCAAGTCCAACATTCTTGTACAAAATTGCAAGGGCGAGAATGATCTGAAGAGGAAGCATCCACATGTCATGAAGATACCAAGAGTAATCCCCCACCCTCTGAACATCCACAGCCATGTAGTTAACAATCTCCCCACTTGTGTGACTCTGCTTGGCCGAGCTTGAGAGCCTGAGTCCCTTCCGATATACCATTGCTGTTAGAGCTGACCGGACGTGCATGCCCAAGATGTCCACCCCCAAATACCACTGTCTTGTCGTTAAGGTTTCCATGAGCTTTGCAGCAAAAAATGTCCCCGCAAGGATGTACCCTTCATATGGGAATGTCTCTTTACCACCTAAGTAATCAACGAAGTAGCTTATCATGTATGGACCTACATACGAGACAAGAGTATTCATACCAGCAAAGATAGCATTACAAGCTGCCTCCTTCCCGTAAGACTTGAGAATTGCCCAAGCTAAAGAAGGCTGCTTTGAAGGATTTTCAGCCCTCAATCTCTCCCATTTAGAGTTCAGAATCTTATAATTGGTCTTAGCTCGATCTTTTGGCGCAAGGAGGGGAATGTCCTTGAGCTCAAGCGGTCTCTTAGCCCCAATTGAGAGAAGCGGGTTGAGCCAAGAGAGAGTGGCCAGGCTAAAAATCCCAGCATCACTATATGGAGTGACCTTGAGACAACCTGCTTCTTCTTCTTCTTCTTCAGTAAGTAATGGCTCTCGAAGATCAGAGTTTCTACGAACCTTTATGCCAGTAACACCTCGAATTGCAACAATGCATAGAAAAGCAAGAGCTGGAGTGGCAGCAAAATTTGCCACAACATGAGAAGAAAGATGTTTTGAACCTTCCACCATAAGTACTCTCCCATCATGATACAAAGTGCACAAGCAAATTACAAATGAGACAAACCACCAAATCCTCAACAAAAACGGAAACTTCTCGGACAAGTCGAGTTTGCAATGCAAAGCGGAGAAGCTGATTACAAACCAAGCTAAACCCTGCGCGGATGGCAAAGAAAGAAGCCACCAGTTCACTGTATTCCCATGAGTCGATTCTCTGATCAAAGCAGCTGCATCAAATCCTAACACCAGGACTTGAACAAAGAGCACATAGAAACAACAGAGCAATGCCAATTTGAAACTCGAACCGATTCTAACGTCGTGTGTGTTTCTGTCGATATAACTATGACGAATTGGATTTGGATCGCCAGTCGTGTTTTCCTTGCATATTCGAATTCGACCAACACACACGTATATCTGCCTCGCTGAGATTACAAGGAGAAACACGAGAAGAATAGTTAAGTTGACGCAGATTGCGGCTAGTTCCAAAACGGGCAATCCTACGATCGTTGTCAAAAGGGAGTTCGGCGATCTTGATGGCAATGAAGAAAAGATTTTGTCGAGCAATTGCGAGATAGCCATTAATGAATGTCGCGACAATTGAGAGGAGTGAGTCGGCGTGAAGCTAAGCAGAAGAAGAGATCAGAGCGTTGGAAGAAGGGCATTTCACCCCGAAGGAGATGAAGAAGAGGAATGCGTATCTGGAGATAGACTCCGGAGACACATTGCACACGAGAACAAAACAGAACAGAATCTCACGAACACGGAAAACGAAGACGAAGAAAATAGCTTGAACTTTGTTCGTCTCACTCCTGCACGATATCTATCACCAGAAATGGACAAAGGGAGGAGTAGGTATCAAAATTTTCCAAGGAACAAACCAAAAACCTGACGTGGGTAAAATCCACATCACCAGAAGGACCGGTGCAGATTGTCGAGGCAAGCCTGTGATCAAGATTTATAAGTAGACCTCAAAAACCCAGCTGTTAAAGACAGAGAAAGAACGAGAGAGATGACCCCAAGGATGATCACAGAACGACAGCGATGGTGATGAGTAAGCTTCGCTGCGCTAGGCTTATAACAATGTAGAATAGAAACAGAGAGACAGAAAGAGAGAGCTCTCTCTTCTGCTCTCTAGATATTCTCGTTTTAAACTTGGCTTCCTGTGTGCAATCCTTCACACTTGCGTGTGGGAATCAGAACCTTTACAGCAGATATGCTCAAAATAGGTTCTTTAGCGAGTGAGAGAAGAAAGAGGAGGTAACTCGAAACAAATAATTTAATACATAAACAAACAAGCCTTAGCTGCAGTGGCTATAAAATAGCAACTTTCGGTGAGTGAGTGAAAAAAGAAGAAGGCAAAAATAAAAATAAAAATTAAACCCCCAGTAGAAAACGGAACAATTGCAAGAAGATCTTGAAAAAAATTTTAGCTTTCCATATAAGTGGCATTCACTATTATATACACACACAGACGTACACACAAACACATGCCAGCAAGTGCTGTGAGGAAGGCGATGGTATACAGAGAGGTGAAAGGCGAAGGAGATAGATTGAATGATGAATTAAACTTCTGTGAGTTGAGATTTGTTGGACATATTTTGCTTGGTGAGGGATGAGATCATGGTGCAATATGAGTCCACAAAATAATAGATCACGAATGGACTGAGTCCATTCTTGAAATCAATGCTCTATTACAATAAAGGGCCTATACGAATAGCTTTGTTGGTTTACCACTTTACAGGGTGTTGTCATGGTGTTAGTGGCATTCCGACGAGACAGAGAGAGAGTGCTGAGTATGATGGCACAATCATTTGCTTTGTTGAAGATGGACGCACTCCCAAACATGTTTGTTAAAGAGGAGCACCCAGAACCACACATTCTCTGTAAATAAGTTGAAAACTCTGAAAATATGAACACCTCCTCCTTCTTTGCTTGTTTCTGAAAATAAGAAAAAGGATTTTTTTGTTTGAAATGACAAGAACATGGTAAAAAATCGTACAATTACTAACAGATTGTGCTAAATCTGATAGCAAATTCCTGGTTCTCCGACTACAATTTATGATCTTCCATAAATCAAATTCACAATCTTTTTTTAAAAAGATTCATAGTATTATTTCTGTCTCATGACAATCACATTGAACAGGGCTCTTCATAAGCCTAACCAGGTTCTGCAGTGGTCAGATATTGTCATTGCCGAAGCTATCTGATTTTGCTCCATGTGGGGGGATTACGAGCCGGCCTATTCTATCACCTTCTAGGCTTTTTTAAAAATATAAATAAAAATGATGACGTCATAAATGGTCGGAGGATAAAAATGGATGTTTGGTTTTTACTGGGAAAATGGACGGTGGATGGGAGGACTTGCCGTGGTAGGTAATGACATCTGAGTTTACGGCTGAGGGGGCTTTCTTGACTTGTGGGCTGTTCAAGCGTGTGGTGATTTGCCTTTTGATGATCAGATCAGCCATCGACAAATCACATTGTGCGGATTTGCTTCAAAAGGGAAAACCAGGTTTTGAAGAAAGCTTCATGGCACTCGGCCATTTCAAAACCGGTTTAGCTCAACACGAGGACAGAATTATTTGTTGGTCCGGAGCTCCAGAGTAAAGTCGTAAAATAGTGATTTAACTTTAATTTTCTTTAATTAATAATTCCATAATCTAACGGTATGAAAAAAATTTTACAGGTTCAATAACTTCAAATAATCTAATACTCTTCCGCTCCTAAATATAAAACTCTTTATACTAATATGTATAAAGGTTTTATATTTAGCACTGAGTAATATCATTCTATAACCATTATTGGTATCTTAACTTCTGATAGATTTACCAATTGTAATTTAGTTTTAATTTAGATTCAAGATCTGCTGCTCGCACACGTGTGTGTGTGTACATTTGATGAATCAAGTCGTTTCCCCAGGCGTTCTTGCCACCATTTTTCCCCCAGTTGACCAACATATATAAAATGACAGGACAAATTTAGTTTTTAATATAAGAATTAATTGACTAATTTATATAAATTAAAAAAATTAGTTAAGTTAGTTATTTGTAATAAATAGATATTGTTTTTTTAAAAATATTTTTGCTAATTATGTATACTAGTTGGAACTACCATTTGATAAAACATTTAATACATATAATCATTACAATGACTACCTTAAAAAATAGATAAATATAAAAAGAAAAAATAAATTAGAATCTTATATTTAAAATCAAATTAATTTTCAAATTAATTTTTATATTAAAAACTGAAAAAAAAAAAATGTGTGTGCGCATTTGCGCAGTTCTGCGCAATGACATCGGGGCCTGTTGCTGCTTGTATGCATCATAAAGGATGCCACCTGTTCATCACATGCAATTTAAACATTTTGTTTAGGGCAAATAATTAATAAAGTAAACGCTTAGTGTTAAGTGCCGATAATACTAAATTAATTAACTTCTATAATATCACGGAGAAGAAGAAAGAAGTGGGATTTTTTTTTTTTAACAATGTTTATACAATACCCTTAATTAAGGCCACAGGAAGTAATAGCACACGTTGACATCGTGGCCGAAAAAACCAGCTAGCGACGCGGGTCGCCACATTTATTAGATGTACCTAATTCAGATTTATAACACAAATCAATAATGGACCCTCCCGCAGTTTCTCAAATCTCGTTGATGATAAGTCGGCTCTCTTTAATTTCTTCAAATAAATAATAGTGTGTGTGTGTGTTGCCAGCCAAGAAATGAGAGTTTTATGATGCATTGTGTCACGATCTTATCATATTTTATTTATATAATTAATTATTCAGATCGGGACACATCATTGCGGCGGTGCCCATCATAACAATATTGTTTTTCGTGTATACTCCTCCGGTCCTAATTATAAGACCCAATTAACTTATTTGAGGAGATTAAGGAAGTAAGTTAAGTTGGTTATTTATAATAAATAAGTGTTGTCATTCCTAAAATATCCTTACTAATTAAGTATATTGGCTAAAACTATCATTATTAGAAGGATTATCTTGGAAAAAAATGCATAAATATAAGAGACAAAATGGATTGGAGTCTTATAATTAAGACCAAATAAAAAGTCAAATGGGGTCTTATAATAAGGACCGGAGGAGTATAATATATACTACCTCCCGGTCATAAATTAAATCTTATGCCACTACTAGTATTCAGGATAGGAAGTGACATTTAAATTTGTATTCTTCGTATGTGCATATATCATGCATAATATTCCTCTCCTCAATCGAGCCTAAATGTGTTTAATAATCTAATTCTTTTTTTGACAGCAATGTTTAATCTAATGCTGTTCCTTGCTGTTATAATCATAATTTATATAAAAAATAACATTATATGTGTACATATATACTCCTCCGGTCCTTAATATAAAACATAATTCTTGAGTTGATTTTGGTCATAAATATAAAACTCATTTCTCATATTTATCAATTTTCTCTAAATTACCTCTATGGATATTCTCTCAACCGTAATCAAGTAGAAGAGGGAGATGGGGCATCAAGAAAGATGATTGTAGTGTTTTAGAAAAAATGTGTCATTTTTCTTATAATTAATTAAATAGGTCTTATATTAAGGATTGAACGAGTATATAAATATCCTTCGCTGATAACGTTGTGTTTAATTTGGCGTAGCTAGACCTGCAGGGCCCTGAAGCATGCTTCGTGAAGTACACGCACACAATCCGGACAACAAAGAGAGGCTGTTAATTATAATTGTAATTATTATGTAATTCTGGGCATGAATTATTGGCAAAATAGAAATTTTAAATTAAATCCACATTAATCTCATAAACGAAAAATAAATTCTAAAGTAATAAAATAAATTATATTGTGGGTTACTACTGTTTTTGTGTGTGCAGGCACCCGTATATAAAATATTCAACACAAACTTCAGTCCAATCTCCAAAGGGATATGCATCTGACGTGAATCATTGTTTTTTTATTTTATAAATTAATGCTTTTTATTAAAATTTAGTGGCATAGATTATGAGTTCTCTGGAATGGTGGCTTTTTGGATCTTCTATTAATAATTAATGCTTCAATTCACCCCGGGGTTTTCCAGAAATAGCACCCCCTGGCGTGATAACTGATATTCTAAGATACTCGTACAAAATATCTATCTCTTAATAAATAAATTAATCGTATAATTCATAACTAGTTAAACGCATCGCTGGACCGCATGAATTATTAGGCGGATCAAATTAATTAACACGATATTTTGCCTGTTTGGGAGGGCTTACAAAATTTCTTATAGGCACATTTCACGTAAGTTGAGACAAAACTCTTCTCACATACTTATCTCCTATTCTGTAAATCACTATTGAAAAGTTACTTATAAATTACTTATAAACTGTTCTAAACGGGCTCATTAACTAGTTATAACTATTAATGGTAATTGGTAACTTTTGGAATTTGAAACATAATTAATACTTTTTTTTTGGCAAAAAACACATAATTAATACTAAATGGAGTATTTTAAAAAAAAAAGAAAAATCAATACAATAATGAATTTTTAAATATAGGTGAATGGATTAAAAGGACTAAGACTATTATATTCCATTAGCAAAAAATTTCACGCGTTAAAGAGGTATACTGATAATCAAAGATCAGAAATAGAATCAAATTATTTTTTTTGATACACCGAATCAAATTCGTTACCTCCCTGCACACACACACACACAAGTTTTCATGTCAGCGTGTTTGATGGAAGAATCATGTAACCCAGTTGAGTTTGCCCATTCAAATTTTAAAAAGAACAAAATGAAGAAATTAAAATGGGTGGCATGTTGAAAATGGTGATAATGACGGGCGTTATAAACGAAAGGATGATAGTGTTATGTTATGAAAGAGAATCTTAATCTTATTAATGGCACCGAATGTGACCACATTGAGTGAAAGCTCCCAAATAATTAGACTGTCTCTTTCCCCCTTTTTTTTAAAAATCAATTCTTGAAGATTTTTACGAAGGGCAATAACTTTATGATCATGGTATTAACGAGCCAATTTCCAATTAAAAAATTTTATTATGATTCTTCTATATTTGTCTTTTATACTAAACATATTAATTATATCAGATTCCGGATATATATATATATATATTAATTAAAAACTAACGTAAACATCTGGAAAAATCTTCCTTTATGATCTACGCGTCTCTTCCTAATCCCAATGCAATATAGTGTGTGCTGTGAATTATACGATGTAATGAAATGACGCTCATCTACAACTAGCTCAAATAGTATTGTTTTGTTTAGGAAAAATGGCAAAA